ATGCAGACCTTTTTGCTAGGAGGCGACAGTGCAAACCACTGAGCCACCATGCCATCTCTATGTCAATAGTTACAGATTTATATAATTTTTTTTTTTCATTTTGTGCTCATGAAAACAAAACATAAAATGGGTTTAGATCAAGTCAAAGTTGAATAAATAATGAGATAATGTTTAAAGAAATATAAACACAACATACTTGAATGTGTACCAAATTGCAGTTTGTCCACAACATTATTATCAGATGCTTTCTTAACTGCGTTTTTTTTACCTCCGTAATTTTAGTTGTATGCTTATTTTGTTATTAAAAGAAAAAGGCAAAGAGTCATACCACGGAACAGGTATTTCTTTTTGCCCATATATGAAGACTTCCCTGTGAGTATATCTGGGCCTTTAGTCTCCAGCAATAAGCTACAGTTGAGTTCTTCCCTGCTTGTGTCTGTCAGAGAGGGTTCCTGTGTAGAGAGGGAATGAAGTGTCAGAGATCACTTGACGGAGGTCCCCGAGGTGCAGCTCTTCAGGGCTAAAGTGTGTGAGAAGAGAGTCAAGTCCCTTTCCATTTCCTGTCCTCCCCCTCCAACCCTCCATTTTCTGCCTGGATGAACCAATAGTCTGCCTGAGAGCATGCAGCAGGTCCCACCTGGACCATCCCCAACCAAAAAAGCACAAGAGCGAGCGGAGCAGAGACAGAGATGGAAAGCGAAAAAGGTTTTGGAAACTGCTAAGTGTTATAAAAATTGAAAGATGGAGAGTGGAAGGAAGTGGCCGGAGGTTAGAGGTCAATCGTGTGGAGATACATACCTTCCTTGTTTTTGAAGGTAAGCTGGTTTCAGACTGTCAGCGTCCCCGGGGACTGAAGAGAGAGTGTTCACTCACATGAATGACATTTAATTTGTTTCGTGAAAAGAGTGCTCATATATTGAACAAGCCCTGTTGTCTGTGTTTGGGGTTTGGAATGGAAATAAAGCTTTTGCTTGTGTGCTGCTTCTCCAGTCCGACAAAAAAAAAAAAAAAAAAACCTGTCAGTCAAAGGACTGGCAATTTGTATTTGCCTGTAACGGCGAATGATGGTCTTCTCATCTTTGTAAACACTCCCGTTTCCACACATTCATCTTCCGCCGCCTCAATCATTGAGACAAACATTTCAGTAGATTATGATGTAGCTCTATCCAGCAGCTGTCCATCCAGAGCTCCATTTAAACGGCTGCAGCGGCTGGACGTCCCTCACTCTGTCAGTTTCATTCTGATCTACATCAGATGGAGACATCAGAGAGACCCAAACATGTTTTGTCAATTCATTCCACATCTGTTGTAGATAAACACTGGGTGGTGGAACATGACGATCTTCTTGGAAATGTAAGATATAACTGAAGTAAATAGCTCAGAAACACTTCATAGTCAATTTTATAAATGTTATATGATAGATAGATAGATAGATAGATAGATAGATAGATAGATAGATAGATAGATAGATAGATAGATAGATAGATAGATAGATAGATAGATAGATAGATAGATAGATAGATAGATAGATAGATAGATAGATAGATAGCTGATACACTTAATATTATTTATATTTATATAAAATGCTGGGTAACTTCAATAGAATTTTGGGGAAAATTTGGATCTATCTATCTAATATGATGAATTCCTTTATATTTTGCAGTATATTGTCCTTTTATGGTACATTGCAAAACAAAGGGTTAAAATAATGTATATATTTCAAGTGCATTCTGACATATGTCTGCTCTACAAAGTTCATTATGTAATATTGTTTTCTTTTTGTTTTGCCCTTCACCAGGTCTTCTGCATTATGTACTCATAACATGAATGAAAAGTGCTTTATATTCCTTTCCAAACATCTTTTTAATCACTGTCTTTTGTACTTTTGTTTTCATTAGCAAAAGAGTCTAGTGTTGTTAAAGCATGCATTTTAATGAAGCAAGAGTATTTTAATGATCCAGTACTAAACCAAAATTGAATCTAAATCAATGGTCACACTTTATTTTGATGGTCCGTTTGTTACATTGCATCTATATGTCAACTAATTTTCATTAGATTATAATTAGACTGTTAGGTTGGGGTTTGGGTTGAAGTCAGAATTACTAGCCTCCCTGAATTATTAGCCCCCATGTTTATTTTTTTCCCCAATTTCTGTTAAAACATTTTTTTGAACACATTTCTAAATATAATAGTTTTAATAACTCATTTCTGAAAACTGGTTTATTTTATCCATGCCATGACAGTAAATAATATTTGACTAGATATTTTTCAAGACACTTCTATATAGCTTGAAGTGACATTTAATGGCTTAACTAGGTTAATTAGGTTAACTAGGCAGGTTAGGGTAATTAGGCAAGTTGTTGTATAATGATGGTTTGTTATGTCGACTATAGAAAAAAATTGCTTAAAGGGGCTAATAATTTTGTCCTTAAAATGGTGTTTAAAAATCACTAATTTATTTTCATTCTAGCCGAAATAAAACAAACAAGACTTTTTTCAGAAGAAAAAATATTATCAGACATACTGTAAAAATTCCCTTGCTCTGGTAAACATAATTTGGGAAATAAATAAAAAGAAAAAAAAAATCAAAGGGGGGCTAATAATTCTGTCTTCAACTGTATATACAGGGTGGGCCCTTTATATGGATACACCCATAAACTTATTGGGAATTTCACAAAAAAAGCAATGGTGTGCTTGGTTTTAAACGTAACTTTATTCTTTCATGAGTTATTTACAAGCCCCCTCACATATACTAATGTGCCATTCCCATTCTATTAGGGTGTATCCATATAAATGGCCCACCCTGTATATAGCAAAATATTAGCAAAATTAAATAACATTGTAAAGCAATACCTTTTATAATATAATATCAGTTTAATACTTTATAGAAAACCTGGAAGGTAAAATACATGAAAGTAAAATAAAAAATCTGTTCTGAATGCAGAAACTAGTATTTCATGGTTTTCATCACACAGTCTCTGCACCAAAGCAGCATTGCAGTCAATTGTGTTATATATGTTGTGAAAGCTAAAGAAATAAGTCTGAATTGGGTGGTTACAGTGCTTTCTAACTGGGAATGTCTATCAGTGTTTCAATCTCTAATGAAAAGACTTCAGGACCCCAGGAACAAAGTGTTAAGTAAATGCACTGAAGTTCCCTCATGCATTATACATATTAAATGAACTCTGGCAGGCCAAACCTCTCAGACACAATGAGTAAAAGAGTCCAGAGCTGGCTGAGAGATACATTTAAGGTACTGTAGGTGATAAAGAATTGACTGATGTATAAAAATATATTTAGACAAGACCAAAATGTTAGACTGTAGCTGAGCAGTCTGTCTTTATAGTATCACCATTTGATATGGGTTAATTATTTGTTAAATCAAGATCATTACCAAAAGTTAATAAACATCCTTAATATTTTTTTATTGTTATTGTTAACCTAAAACATGTTTTGCTTTGTTTACTATCATAGTTTAATGGAAGTATCTTCTTCCTTTAGGAACTAGGGGTTATGATGAGACAGACCTAAAAATAACATTTAAATCTGTCATCGTAGGTTTAAAACGTTATATGCATGCATAATTAATTGAATACTGTCCAAAGAACTACACCATTACAAATTCATATACACATTTTTACAATATAATTTGAATAAAAATTATAAAAAATTGAAATATTTTGTATAAAGAAATTGTACCTACATTTTGCATTGATTCTCATTATATTATTTATTTATTTGGGGTGTCACGGTGGCGCAGTGGGTAGCATGATAGCCTCACAGCAAGAAGGTCACTGTTTCGAGGCCCAGTTAGCATTTCTGTGTGGAGTTTGCATGTTTATCCCATGTTCGTGTGGGTTTCTTCCGGGTGCTCCGGTTTCCCCTACAAGTCAAAAAACATGCGGTACAGGTGAAGTGAATAAACTTAATTGGCCGTAGTGTATATGTGTGAATGTGAGAGTGCATTGGTGTTTCCCAGTGTTGAGTTGCAGCTGGAAGGATAAGTTGGCAGTACATTCCGCTCTGGCGAATCAAGATCAATAAAGGGACTAAGCCTAAAAGAAAATGAACGACTGAATGAATGAATGAATGAATGAATGAATGAATAAATGAATAAATGAATTTATTTATTTATTTAGTTATTTGTTCATTTATTTATGTATTTATTTATTTGTTAATTAATTAATTAATTTAATTGATTGTTTGTTTATTGTGTATTTGAATAAGTTTTATTTATCTGTGGGTAATTTTTATTTTGGAATCTTTTTTAAATTATTTGTATAATTAATTTATTAATAATTATAAATGATCAAACACAAAATAATTTTTATTTACAATAATATGATTATTTATTAAAGTTATTGAAGTTATACAATTGATAGTTGAATTTATCTTATTGAAGTTTAATTACTTACATTTGTATTTTTTTCATGAAGTTATTAACTTTCGTTTTCTTTAAAAATTTCAGGCTCTTTCTGTAAATTCTGCATTTCTTTAAAACATTTCACTTTGATGTGACTTTAATCACACACACACACACACACAAAATATGACGTTTGCTGCTTGATCAAACTACTTATTTAAAATGAGTTGAAACAACACAATTCTTAAGGATTTTGGGGGGACAACTTAATTTTTCATGTTCAATCCACTTAAATTAGTTAAAACTATTAAGTATTAATTAAATTAAATTAATCGATTTTGTTGTGACAACATGAAGGAATTGTGTGGAACTTAGCATTTTTACAGTGTAGATTATCATACCATATATCACAAAGCACTGTACTAAGGTGTTTTTCTAAATAGATATAAATCTATGTAATTGTTTTCATGTAGCCCAATAGTTTTATAATTCATAGATTTTTTTTCAGCCAGTAAATGTTATTTAATGTTACAGAAGTGTTTGATAAGTACACAGAAAGGCAATTATGGTAATGGTTAGTGGCGCTCATCAATCATGCTGGATGGCGCTGTCTGTGCGGTGAGTCTGATGTGTGATTGGCTGCTGGCGGCAGGGGAACTGAACACGTCCTCATTAATGTGCGCGAGACCCCGCGGGCTCTTCACGAGGACACCCGCGCATCACCCGGGACTCTCAACTCGTACGGCGCATATATAAACTGTTCCGCTGTCTGAACAATAACTTTCGTTGTTATTCGCGTTTGTTATCTGGACCTTTAAATCTGCTCCCGTGACGTCAGCGCCGCCGGTGTTTAAAACAACGTGCAAACTGAGGCAACGTTTGTTATGAATTTTTTTCCAACTTCAGCTCAAGCACGTTATGTTCGTGTCATGCTGCGGTCTGTGGTGGCTTTAGTGTAAAGAGACGAACAGAAACAGGAAAAGGACGCTTATCTCCAGTTGATGGAAGATATTGGTGATAAACTGATGACCCGCCGCGGGACTGCAGCTTTCTCTGTGCAGGACACTCATCATGTCATTTACACAGTTTGGTTATTCATACCCTGCAGCACCACAGGTAACTTTTTCTTTTTCAATTTTTTTACACTTCACTGTACAGTGCTAGAGTTGGACGTCAAAGATTAATTTTGAATGATTCAGATTAATGGAATGTTAGTAATTGACTTTTTTATATAAATTAGGGGAAATGTTGTAATTTTCTAGAATGATTAAACATGATTCAATAATTCTGAACATTAAAGTGAAATCTAGATTATAGGTGAAATCTAGATTATAAGCTAATGGCTATTTCTGTTGAGTTATTTAAAATGTGTTAAAGGGAGAGTTCACCCAAAATGACAATTCTGTCATCATTTTCTCATTCTTCACGTGATTCAAACCAGTTTGAGCCTCTTTCTTTTGTTGAACACAAAATAAGTTATTTTAAAGAATGTGCAAACTATTGATGTCAATGGTTAATAAACAGAACAAAAATAAATAAATTAATAAATAAATAAATAAATAAATAAATAAATAAAAAGGGTGAGTAAATGATGACAAATGATTTGTGTGAGCTATTCCTTTGATTCAGGAAAAATAAAATATTTTAAATGAATACCTATTGTATGTAATTGTAATATTTTTAATGATGAGAAAGAACAGTTTTATTAAAAACAAAACAAAACATATTTTATATTTATAAATAAACAATGTCTAATATAAGATTGTTGCCATTTCAGGGATATATTTGTTTAAGGCATATATTTTTCCAGAACAACAGTATGACATATTTGAGGATCAAAAATATAATTAATGTTAAGACTGAAGATCTAAAAGTGTTTTTATATGTCATTATTATACAGATTTTCCACTAAACAATTACTAAGGAAACTCTATATTTTAAAATAAATTAAATAGACATTTTGTTTTTTAATATGTTTATTCTGTACTGCTATAGCAAACATGTTATAGACAGTCTAAGAACAAATAATTTTTTTCTTTATTTATGTATTGATTGATATGTTTATATTTTTATTTAAGATAGTAAGCATTTATACAATGTCATACAAAGTTAGCCTCATTATTAAAATCCCCATAAAATCACATTATTCTAAAAGTCAAATATAAAATTTAAATAAAAGTTTTTACAAATATTATTATACAGTATATGTATACAATATTTAATGCACTCTTTAAATAAAGAATCACCTAATTAGAGTCTAAGATAAAACCAATTTGTAAAATGTATTATGATGTATACAAACTCTTAGCTTGTGACTAATTTCTTACAGAGCTTTAACCATAATTGTGGATAGCCCTGGAGACTAATGCTCGTTTAAGTCATTAATAGTTTAAATGCTCAAAAAGCTGTCTCACTGTAAAGTCTTCCATGGTTTTCAAGGACATGCTTTAAACTATTTATCCTTTTCTTTGGCAGCTTTTAATGTCTTCTAATGCTCTGAGCACCTGCTTTGAGTCTAGTGGTTCTCTGCTAGACTCTGGAGTGCCGACTTCTCCTCAAAACTCACTTTACTGCCCCGTGTACGAAAGTAGGCTTGTGGCCTCCAGCCGGCATGAGCTGATCCCTACTGCGGTCTATGGCAACTCCTGTTCAAAAAATCATGTTTACGACTCCTGCAGCACTTACGGTCCAGATTCAGCCGCATGCTATCCTCTGGTAAACATTCCTTTTGTTTGTTTTATTGCTGTTCAATGATTACCTTTTGTACAATGATTATTGTTTATATATATAGTATATATAGTATTATATATAGTATAAAGTATAGTATATATATAGTATATAGTATATATATATATGTGTGTGTGTGTGTGTGTGTGTGTGTGTGTGTGTGTGCGTGGTTGCATATTTATTACTTTTTTATAATATATATACAACACATACAGTTAAATACAAACTTATTAGCACTCCTATTAAATGCTTAATCTTTTTAAAATATTTGCAAAGTGGAGTTTAACAGATCAAGGACATTTACACAGTATTTCCTATAATATTTTTTCTTCTGGAGAAAGTCTTATTTCTTTTAGTTTGGCTGGAATATAAGCAGTTTATATATATATATATATATATATATTTTTTTTTTTTTCTTTTTTTTTTATGGTCAGTATTACTTGCCCCATAAGCATTTTTATATATGTTTATATGTTTGCATATTTTTTAAATGTCTTCTGAACAATTTTTTATATTATTAGCCTAACTTGTCTAGTTTACATAATAGCATAGTTAAGCCTTTAAATTGCACTTTAAGCTTAATGCTAGTATCTTGGAAAATAAATAGAAAAATATTATGCACTGTCACTATAGCAATGGCAAAAGAAATTAGTCATTATTAGTTAGTTATTAAAAGTATTATGTTGAAAAATGTTTGTTCAATGTGTTTGTCTTTATTAAACAATATCTGAAAATATTTTAAATTTAATTTTGACTTTAACTGTATATGTATGTGGGTATTTTTATACCTAATAAATATACACAGTACACATAAATTAATGGTTAATCACGTTGAATCATTTGGCAGTAGTTCATGTCACAATTAAAGTAATATATCTATAAAATTTCCACTCAATGATGTACATACCTTGCTTTATTTTATGCTTTATATTAGGGTAAACTCAATGAGAAAGATGGAGTGCAAACTGGACATTCAAGAGTTACCCAAAGCTCTGCATATTATCCCTACGACTACCCAATTGGACAATACTCATATGATCGATATGGGTAAGAACTGCAACCTTTTTTTTTTATTTTTTTTTTACATTTTTGGCTTTAATGATAGTATAAAAAGTTGTATTTGAGCATTTTCCATGTTGTTTAGATATGGATCTGTAGATGTGGGGACAAGAAGAAAGAATGCCACCAGAGAGACCACCAGCACATTGAAAGCATGGTTGCAGGAACATAAAAAGAATCCGTATCCTACAAAGGGTGAGAAGATCATGTTGGCTATCATCACTAAGATGACCCTTACGCAGGTCTCCACCTGGTTTGCCAACGCACGCCGGAGACTCAAGAAGGAGAATAAGATGACGTGGTCACCACGTAACAAGAACTCAGATGAGAAGGAGTGTGACGACGACCAAGAAGATCTGGATGAAGCGCAGGAGGAGCCAATAAAAACTGAACAAGATTTCAATGGTTTGTTCAAAGATTTTTTTATCAGTTTGGTTTAAAATGCAAATATCATTCCTTTAGCCTAGTCAGCATAGAATGGGTGAAAAAATAACTTCCAGGGTTATTTTTATTGAACCTGTGATGTCTTTTATGCCAAATTCATAAATGTAAAAAAATCTATTGTCAGTACAAAAGTGTATACTGTTATAGAAAGACCACTTGAACAATTCTTTTTTTTTTTTTTTTTTTTGGATTTCTAATTAATTATTACATGCTTATTATATCCTTAAAAACATAAATTTTGTTTTATTCTGTGAATTTCTGATGATATTTCCTACAAATTTAAAATGTAAATGTTGTCATTTCGATTTTTTTTCACATGAAGTAGCAAAAAAATTTCAGGTATGTATATATTCATATGTAGACAGCTCAACACAAATGTTTTACATTCAAAAAATTTAAGTAATCAATATTTGAATATCATTTTAACCCAGATTTAAACCAAATGTCATTTTCTAAAAATAAAAAAAGTTTAATTGGCAATATTTTTTCAGGCGATTATACAATAAAGTAGTAAATATATAGTGTATAAAGTAAATATACACATTTTACCCATATGCATCCAAATAGACCTTCAAGTGGTCTTAATGGCAGAATATGCAAGCTTGCAAAATGTTATTTTACGGTGTTAAGTTTAAGCTTAAAGCAAGAGTTAATAGCTTCTGCACCATTTCCCTCTGATATTAGGGATGCATTATGGTTAGGGGTAGGACAGGACTTTGTAGACAGGAATATTGTTCCAAGATCAAGAAATGACGCAGGAATATGTCTGTCTCTGTGAAATTGAGTCGATCACATTGGCTGCAGCATTTAAGCAGAGACCAACTTAAATGGTTACAATGCTTAGTGGTGCCAAAATACAACAACAGCAAAATTTAATTTACTATTAAGAGTCTTCAATTATTTAGAAATGTTATTTTTAGTTTATTTTTTTTAGTTTAGAATATGTATTTATATGTGCATGGGCGTTTTTGCCACTTTCCATTGGATTTTGCTAGTTTTAATGAATTTTTTGCTATTAGTCCTTTTTAATTTATGAGCCTCTGGGTAGTAATAGAGTAAAAAAAATCTTAATAAATGGTCTCTTAAATTAAAACTAAAACTTTCAAAACTGCCTTAAAAACCTGTAGACTGATATTTTCATGAAGGCCTTTAGACAATTTTGTTGGTAAAATAATAATAATAATAAAACATTATGCACTTAAAAGAGCCTCTTTTCCAGTCAATGATGCATTAAACAAATTTTATACAACGTTAAAGATAACGCTGAAAATGCTTGCAATGTCAGTGTGCCAAGCAGATTAATTCAAGTTTAGTGTAGCACCGGATCATGTTTATTTTCTTTTCCATTCATTCATTTTCTCTTGGGCTTAGTCCCTTTATTAATCTGGGGTCGCAACAGCGGAATGAACTGCCAACTTATCCAGCATATGTTTTATGCAGCGGATGCCCTTCCAGCTGCAACCCATCACTGGGAAATAGTTTCTTATTATAAGTAATTCTAAGTACATAAGTTCAAGCATGAGCAAAATAGTTCTGGCTATTCTCCTAACAGCCACAAGGGTTTCTAAACAGTACATATAGAGCATTTAGTGTCATACTTACCATTTTATAACCTGTCTATAAATTTGTTTCATAACTCCAGACAACCATGGAAAGGACGATACAGATCAACTTCACAGCGATCTGGATGATTTCGATCTAGTGGAATCGGATGGCTCTGAGTGCGAATCGAAACCATCTTTTGTTGTGCACGTTCACTCAGAAACCAGCGACCACCCAGAAACCCACTTTAAAGATGCTTTTCATGAATCCGTTACCGAGCTTACAAGAGGTGTCCACAAATTTAGCGAAGACCGTCTGAGAGCACCTGCTGAGGATCACCAAATGGCAAAGTTTTACCTTCAACAAGGCCAAAAGACCATTGAGACCAAGCCGAAAATCTGGTCGCTTGCACAGACCGCTACATCGTTAAACCAAGTCGATTATTCATCATGCATGCATAAACGAACAGCCTGCCCTTCTTCAAACTGTGACTCCGATTCAGAAATGACAAAGAGGAAACAAGAGTCTCCAGTAGCTACTCTGAGGAACTGGGTGGATGGAGTGTTTCACGATCCCCTATTCAGGCACAACAACCTAAACCAAACTTTCAGCAACTCCACAGAGTTATGGACTGATGCCATTTCCTCACAGAATAACTACCATGAACACTCAGGAACACCTATTACTTCCTCTCATGCTTAATAGTGGTGTTTTTTTCATACATTTTGTAGCACCATCACAAAATTAACATGTTAGCCAATCTCATTAGTTTCATCCTGTAAGCTTTTGTCATTTAAGAAATCTTGAGAGTCATGAACTTTATATATATATATATATATATATATATATATATATATATATATATATATATATATATATATATATATATATATATATAACATTTTTCAACACCTCAATGTAGATTTATGGATATTGCCACTTTTACCACTTTGTAAAATAATGTAATCACTGCTGTAAAATACCACCGTACACAATGCTCCCTAATATAAAGTCTCAGTACCTCATCTAACATCCCTCAGAAATAAAAAAGCCATTTTGCGAGGAAGAAAAAAATCGCTGTCCGTGGTGCTGAAATGCTTCCAAGAGCACATTGGCCACTGGAGTGGTTTTTATGCGGTTGCATTTGTTTGACTGACATTGTTCCCAGTGGAATCACACAACATGGCTTTACATACATCAATAATTTGAACCCTTCCACACAATGTGCTTCAGACTGAGAGTTAAGTTAGAATCATTCGGTCGTGACAAATATAAATACCCAGGGGCTCATACTGCTAAACTGGTAACTCAGTGGTACTTCTAAGAATTGTATTCAGAGAAACAATGGTTTTCTTTAAGTGACTGATATGGCAAGCCAGTTTTACGTTTATTCCTTAAAACTCCTTATATTAATGTTTATATTGGTTAATAACAATTGGAACAAACAATTAATAACCAGGCATGAATGTCTAATCAGTGAGGATTAAAACTATACTGGAATACACTTGTAAGTAAGCTAAAACTGTACAAGGCACTTCTCAAATTGGAATACTCACAAGTAGGAAACAAATTATTTGTACATTTTTTAATACAATTATTTATACATGTATTGGCATACAGTTCTAATGTGCAATTGAATAGTCACTTGAAACAATTTAAGAAATTTAGTATAAAATGCAATAAGTAAAAGCTATAAATAAAGTGCTGTTAGTTTTGGAATAACGATGAGTAAAGTCCTGTCATGGATGCATTGCTGGGTAGCATACAAAACAAAATGGTAATGTTCCCTCACAGATTATCTGCTTGTTAGGTGTGACATCACGCGAAGCAGCTTCCGGGTCCAAGCGCTCTATCAAACTCTATGGGGTGACTCGACAATTGTTATTATTATGTTTACAAAGCGATGTAATACTTTTGAAAATCACGTTCGCTATATATATATATATATATATATATATATATATATATATATATATATATATATATATATATATATATATATATATATATATATATATATATACTGCTTACAGTATGTCAGAATAATTAGCCCCCTCTGAATTATAAACCCCTGTTTATTTTTTTCCCCAATTTCTATTTAACAGAGAGATTTTTTTTCAACACATTTGTAAACATAATAGTTTACAACTTATAGACTTATTTTATCTTTGCCATGATGACAGTACATAATATTTTACAATATATTATAATATCATATTTTTCAAGACACTTCTGTACAGCTTAAAGTGACATTTAAAGGCTTAAATAGGTTAATTAGTATAACTAAGCAGGTTAGGGTAATTAGGCAAGTTAATGTATAACAAGGGTTTGTTCTGTAGACTACCGGAACAAAATAGCTTAAAGGGACTAATAATTTTGACCTTAAAATGATGTTTAAAAAATTAAAAACTGCTTTTGTTCTAGCCGAACTAAAACAAATAAGACTATCTCCAGAAGAAAACAATATTATTAGACATGCTGTGAAAATTTCCTTGCTCTGTTAAACAACATTTGGTAAATAATTAAAAAAGAAAAAAAATATTCAAAGGGGGGCTAAAAATTCAGACTTCAACTGTATGTGTATATATATATATATATATATATATATATATATATATATATATATATATATATATATATATATATATATATATATTCATGCCTAATATTCGATGACCAGAAAGTGATGATTTTTTTTATAAATTGTTAAGAGGAATGTTCAGAGACTGTTGTGTACACCATGATTTTCTGTAAAATTCACTTTAATGTGTGATATGACTAAAAAGTGGTCATAAACGAATATTTCTCAATTCACATGAGTTGCAGCTTGGACCCAGAAACAGTATTCCATACGTAACCGATATGTCTTGACTTAACAAGCGGATACAACGCTATCTAACGGCAATTCAGAACTTTTTGATTTAGTGTCTGATTTGTAGGAATTCTCATTTGTGTTTCATTTAGTACAATTTGCTTATTTCCCAATGACGGTTGGGTTTAGGGGTGGACTTGGTTGCCACATCTCCATTTTAAAATCGTACATTTTTGTATGACTGACCTCATACGAATTCATATGAACTAGCCACTGAACTGACAACTTTTGTCATAGCTCAGCTATAATATACACATGATGTTTAAGGTGAAATGAAACTGACTAACAAAAGGTTGGGAATCCCTGTATCACTTTTACGATTGGATACCTGAAGACGGGGTTGGTTCCAAATGCAGTGTTTATTGAGAGAATGGTCTGACAGACAGGGGTTAAAAGCCAGCAATTTATAATAACAGAGACATTCCAACAGCATAATCTGTATTAAAAAGGTCAAGGCAGGTGACAAATAATCAAAACATGATAAAAGATGCAAGGATTAAAACACAAGAAAGGCAAAAACAAGGCTTTGAATTGTAGCAACACTAACAAGACTCAGCAATGGATGTGTGAATGAAAGGTGCATTTATAGTCTAAGTAATTAATGATAATGTCCTTCAGCTGTGTGTGTAATCACAATGAACCTGAAACTGGTGTGCGAACGCAGGGTATAATGGTATATGTAGTTCAGATGAGTGTTGCATTGAGTGATCTGCAGCAGTCCGCGAGGGCAACATAGCTGTTAATCACAACACAATCACAAATCACAAACATATAATATAACTTTTTTTTACATTAAAAACTTTTTTGTCCAGAACTAAAAAAAAATATATGTAAATTTAGTAAACGTCAAATGAGTATTTTACAACTAGATTGTGCTACATATAGAGGTGCTTTTCTTCTCAAATTCTGAAGCATGAATTAAAAATTATTTGATTATATTAGAACAGAAAAAGAAAAATAGTGAGGAGAATCAGAATCAATTCATTTGTACCAATTTACTGTCATTGCATAAATTGTGTGCAGGTCATAAAAAGGAACTATAATCTGACATTTTGAAATGGAATCAATAACTTCACTATAAAAATGTTATTTAAATGTTTAAATCACTTTAATCTATTAAAATGTTAATAAACATAACTTTTTTTGAACTTCAAGGTTAAAAGTTGCTGGAGGAATAAAATAGAAAAATATTGAACACAAAAAAATAAAAACTTAATCACAAAATTTGGAAAATGCTGATTTACGATGTGCAAGTACCTATTTTGTAATCTCATTACATAATCCACATTACATCACATGCAATCAGTTACTGCAAATGGCATGCAATAAATTACACCGAAAGAACCTTTTAATTGAAATTAAATCAATGTAGTTACCTTAGATTGCCAGTACTTTCTTATGAGAGTGCTTTCTAATAAAACAAAGTTCAATCAAAAAGTCGGTATTAACTCAAATTTGCTAAGTATTAAAACAATCAGCAACAGAAAAGGAAAAACGTATACTAGTTTAAATGGCTTGCCATAATGTCAGCTATGAGTTGGTCCCATTTGGAGCCACCTGAGACCTGAGCAAACTCTAGTCTGTCAAACTAGATGCTTACTCTTTTTAAAACACCAACTAGGAAGAAAGTCAAATGGTGTTTGACAGTCAACTTCTAACCCCTGGTGAGAGAAGTGAGGATGTAAGAACTTAACAAACCTTGAATAAAGCAGAAAGACTGGTCTTTCACTCTTTGTCTTTGATCCCTTATAGCCCCCATATGCTAGATAATTGGCAAAAAGCATGAGTGTGTCAAATAAAACAATTTAAATAAACCAAATCAACCAATATATGTGTGGAACAGATCATTTATTAGAATATATCAATTATGTACATAAATGTTTGGATTTGCTTTAAAGCATGCAGTTCAGTTAATCTATAGGCTATCTTTTGTAGAAATATATGTTAAGAAGTGTAAACAAAATGGCATAAAAGTTAAGTTGATCAGTAATCGTGTGTTAATTGCACGCTTCAAGCTTGCCCTCGATTTATTTGTTCTTTTTTTTCAGTTGAAAGCTTGGGATGATGATAATAAAGTATTCATTAGAACAGAGGAGAAACCTGCCACAACCTTGTATGGGATTAACGATTTTAGGCTGAATTATTCAGGATGAATTCATCCGAGAATTCCTTTCTTTTTCGGCTTTATAAATAACTTACATATAAGGTAATAAATAATGACATCCAGGCATTCAGTAAAGAAACTCACGGCAGTGCACGCTGAAGAAATAAGAGATCCCATTTCCTATTTACAGTTTAAACTCAGTTAGTCTGTTGGAGAGAATTTTAGTACAGACTATAATATTCAGCCAATTCATACCCTAGGAGTACTTTACATAAATGTCAACAATTTATTATTTTTATTTTGGAAATCAGGGACATCATGGTGGCACCATGAGTAGCACATTCACCTCACAGCAAGAGGTTTGCTGGTTTTTCGAGGTCAGTTGGGATTTCTGTGTGGAGTTTGCATGTTCTCCCTGTGTTCATGTAAGTTCCTCTGGGTGCTCCGGTTTGCTACACAAGTCCAAAGACATGGTACAGGTGAATTGGGTAAGCTAAAATTGTTAGTATTGTATGAGAGTGAATGGGTGTGTATGGATGTTTCCCAGTAATGGGTTGCAGCTGGAAAGGCAAAACGTACTGGATAAGTTGGCAGTTCATTCTGCTGTGGTGACCCCGGATTAATCAAGCTGAAAATAAAATAAATGAATGAATGTATTTGAAGAAACAATGGTGACGTTTTTTTAGAGTTTGTGTTGAAAACATTTTGTTGTCTTGGAACTATAAGGTTCTATCTGCATTCTAAATGATTTTGAAATTTTGAGCTTCAAAGTTTTTGCAGTCCATATAGCAAACAATATGTGTGTGACAGTCCTCTTTCATACATCAACATTCATACTAAATGTAC